ATCATTGGTATTTGATGTGATTTATATATATATATATATACTAAAGATGGTTTTAATAAACATTTTGAAATAGTTTTATAGTTTATATATTAAAAAGTCATTCAGTAAAAATAAAAACAGGATTTTAGACTGTAAAATGCTTTTCTCTTTACTGCATTGTTTACAGCTTTTACCCACTCATGCATGCTCTGCTGCATTAAACCCAGCTGCAGTCTGCAGAGAGAGCAAAGTAAAGATGATGCATAATTAATCGGTACAAAAGCTGAATATTTCCTGTGGCGTTTCTAATGAGCGCAGGCCCTATCCTTCTCATCATTACAGTCAATTTTCCTTAATAGTGTGCTTAATAAGTAATGAGTGGCCTGAAAACAACTCAAACCAAGAGCTGCAAAGCCTTCTTCATAATGCCACTAACACATTATAAGATTCACAAAGAAATATATTTGAATTTTTTTTTGACCAAAACCGAATTATTTTAAAAAAACATAATTTCCCTTAACAAAAAAAAAAAATCTGCTGTTATGACTGGATAGACTGGCAACCTGTCCAGGGTGTACCCTGCTTCTTGCCCAGTATCAGCTGGGATTGGCTCCAGCGCCCCCAGGAACCTGTTCAGGATAAACACTATAGATAATGGATGGATGGAATTATGACTGGATTTTTTAATGTGTTTATTTATTGTTAAAAAATATCTTATTAAATTGTCTGGTTTTAATGAAAACAGTTGATTGTGTTGATATACTGGGGTGTGTGCATTTTTAGTACAGCTGAGTTAGTTTTGGGATCTTAATTAAAGTAGTTTTAACAGGATTATAGGAGATAAAATGTACTAAGATGTTTGGGGTGTTTGCTGGCTAAACTAAATTGGATGTAATATGGTAATCTGCTGTGTGATGGTAAGAGGATATAGAAAACCACTGACAGTAGATTAGTTAACTGGTGTGATTAACAGTGGTGTTGAGCTCTGGATTTTGTATTAGTTGTGGGGATTCACATCATCATTTGCATAATTTACCTCCACAGGAACTGTAGGATTCTTCATGTATATTTTACCACTGCTCCTGAACCAGTAACTGAACTAACTGATAGAAATTTAACAAAAACGACCATCAAGCTATTAATTGTGTGAAAAACCTATTTTTATGTTATTTTATATATTACTTAATTATGCTTCACTACATGTTCACCCAATGCCCCCTATCTTGTCCTCATGATGAGCCAGGAGCTTACAATATATTATATACATATGGAATGGGAATGTCCAAGCATGGTGGAGCTCTGAAAGTCCTTTGTCAGAGTCTGTTACTAAATGATGGCAACCAGTTTGGAACTCTTCCAAAGCAACTGTATGACACATTAAAAAAAAGAAAGAAATAGTGTAAATGGAATTCATTTAATGCTCTGCAGGAAAAAACTAATGACCAAAAAAAAAACAAACCTATAACAAAAAACTATATATATAGTATGTAATAACATGGAGCTAGCCCCTTGCCAGCCCTCGATGTCTGGCTGG